CTACCCAACATATTTGTAGATATAAATTACATATATAGTTTAAATCATATACAAACCTGTATAAAACATTCATCCAACATCCATCTCAAATAAACAAACAATATATAAACACATAACACGTATTTCATAGCAAATACTTCATATCTATGTGTTAGAAGAAAGTAACTACACACTTACTCATAACATAGATGTAATACATTCAACGAATACTTGTATTAAAATCATGTTTGTGAAAGGTACTATACACTCACTTGACAAGACGATTATTGGGAAACACTACGGCTCTCCAAGTAGTAACTCTTCGGTGAAACTGAGATATCTTCACACACCGGACTTATCGCGGGCAGAGTTTCGGCTAGAAAACTCTTTTCTTCTTGGGATCTTCGAAGCGTCAGGGCTCACTTCAGGTCTCGGGATGATATCGGGGCTTCGGGGGTACTTCTTTGCACATAAATCGAGGTAATATGGGCGAGAGAAGGGTGAATTAGCAACCTTGGCCAGCTGCTCCTTCAAATCTATTTATAGGGCTGATTTCTCGATTTTTCACGTCGTAAACAGTATTTTCACATCGTGGGCTTGATCGTCACTGCATGCGTCATCGCAAGTTGCGTCTGTCAAGCTCCAGAAGTCATAAATATTGAGTTCATGTCGTGAGCAGTGTGTTCACGTCGTGAACTCTGACACGGTGTTGGGGTTCACGCCCCGAACTTCAGAAATTCATAACTTTTGCATACGAGATTTGTTTTCGACGTTCTTTTTTTCCACGCGTAGGTAAAAACAAGGTTTACAACTTTCGTTTAGACTTCATCGGCTAATTTTGATTTCAATTTTTATTATATTATTTTTAGTAGGCCGGGACAGGAAAACTCTGTTATAAACTCATAACTTCTTCATCCGACGTCCGTTTTCGTCTGTCTTTTTACCGTTGAACTACTATCGATGAGATCTTTGATTCTCATTTAGATTGTTTCGGCTAGAAATCCATCGATCTCATATTCAAACTTCGGGTTGCATACTGTTAAGCTGAAACTTAGAAAAATCATAACTTCCTAATATGAAGTCAGATTTGGTTGTTCTTTTTATGCACACTCTCGGTTTAACGTATTCTACGACTTTCATTTAGATCGCTAATGCCAAATATCGCTCTAACATAAATTCACTATTTACTTCGCATTGTGTCGTGTCGGTTCTGTCGCGAAACTCGACAGGTCATAACTTCTTCGTTATAACTCTGATTTTGGCATTCTTTATATGTACGGAATATTTGTAACATATACTACAACTTAGTTAAGATTACTCCTTCTAAATAATCTTCTATCAAAAATTCATTTTTGACGCTCATTGTCTCTGAATTGACTAGCCCTGATCTACGGGCGTCACATGCACTACTTCCGATGATGATTTGTCCTTGAAACCTTTGGTAACTTCAACATAGATAAGTTTTATGTAACTATTTGTGCTCTATTTATCTTATATTTTATGTGAATATCGACCTCAACCTTGCTTTTTTTTTTTTTCCGTTTGTTTGTCTCATCTCTAGAACATGAATATTTTATGTTACCTATGACCACCAAGTTTAATATTTCAGTAGGTTGGTGTAGAATCTCTCAAAGCCAAATATTATCAATTCAAAAAAAAAAAAAAAAAAAAAAAAAAAAAAAAAAAAAGAAAGAAAAAAAGAAAAAAAGAAAGTGAAAACAGCATCGACTGCAACATCAGGGCCTTTGATGGACCTAAGAAAGAAAGACTTTTGTGTGATAAAGAGGTTAAAGACACAATTAATATTGGTGAGATGGTTGGTAATAAGATTAAGGGTTTTGAAAATGATGTGCGAAATTTGTTTATCGGTGAAGGTGTCAATCAAGCTGAATCATGAAATTTTGAACTTTAAATACCAGGGGTGCCGGAAAAATTCACAAAATGGAGTAGGTAAGAAAACTAAAGAGAGGGAAAAAGCTAATTTTATTTATTTTCAAGAATTTTAATTTGGCGATGGCTCTAATATTTAATTGGGAAATGAAACAAATGTCCTACGAACTTTCTAAAGTTGATCATTTTAGTCCCTAAACTATTTTTGTGGCTTTATGAGGGAACCAACTCGTGAGCAACCTATATTTTTAGTCCCTTTACTTGTTTTAGTAGGTTTGATTGTTAAACAATTGATATACTAGGTTTCTTTCATCCAATCTCTCTTATTTCTTGGTTATAGAAATGCAAAATTATTCTTCCAACCCCATTACTACCACCTCCGTTGTTGCTACTAGTTGAAAACCGATCTTCACTCTTCGTCAGAGACCTCATCCAGACATCACTGATAATGAACTCTATCACCTTTTCTCCATGATCGGCCCAATGTACTTTGTTCGCCGCATCTGTAGAGATCATTTCTCCCATAAATCCCTTGGCTACGCTTACATCAATTTGTACCACCATTGTCACGGTAATCACAAATTAAACAACTGGAGCTCTTATTTCTTTGCCTGTTGGTTTATCCCTAAAACATGCTAAGAAGTAAAAGGAACTAAAAAATAGGTTGCCATGCTACCCATGAGTTGGTTCACTCACAAAACCACACAAATAGTTTAAGGACTAAAACACCAATCATAAAAAATTTGTAAGACATTTGTATGATCTCCCTATATCTAATTTCACAATTTCTAGGACTCTTATGTAAAAAGATTTTGCATTTATGGATGCCAACGATGGATGAAAAGGGTTATATATTATATGGAATCCAAACTACTTTCAAGCATATACAAATCATCAAAAGTAAACACTTTTCTAGTAGTTGTGAGCTTTATTATGGGGTGAGTAATTGCATTGAAGAACTCGATTCCAAGTACGTGGCAGATGCTCGATGATTTTAATGAAGAAATTGATTCAAGGTTCGTGTTTATTCATGTTGACATGCATTTTAAATTTGTGTTTTGTGTCTTAAATGAAGGTCATATACAAATTTACATGTTTAAACACATATATAACAAGAAGTTAAATTCATGTGACTCGCAACATTTATAAACTCATATAATTTAATAAAATTAAAACAAAAACTTTTATCTATTGAAATTTTAACCCTAATAGGCTACGTAGTCACGCTTCACGATATCACCTGCATTCCACCCTATAATCATTTTTATAAAAAGTTAACTTATAATCAACTTCTTGTAATCATCTTTTTCGGAAAATAATGCAATTTCAACCAATAAAAATATTTCAAACATTAATTAGGATTGTCTAAATGGTAAAATAGGGTGTTTTTTTAACCAACCCCTTTTAGAATCCATATTCACTCCTCCGATTCATGTCATGTCTACAGCAAAAGTGCAAGGCTTTTATTTCACGACTTGACTTTGCTAAATCAAACCTGTAGCTCCGCTCAATCCCCAAATTCCACCTTCCTCTCTTCAGAATTTATGGCTTCTAACACCGTGGTATGTTTCTTTTTCCTTTATCTGTATGAACTCCGACTTTTGATTTTAGTCTTCAATATTCATAAAACTTTCAGAATTTTGTTCCTTATATATGTGGATTTTGGTGCGATTTGTAGCAGATGTTGTATTTAGAAAGCTTTCACCATAGCTTCTTGAGTTTAGTCTTCGGTATTCCTTTTTATGTGGTGTTCATCAAGCTTTCACCATAACTTCTTTAGATATACGTGTCCCAGAAGGCTGAATTTTGACTAAAATATCTTGTTTGAACAATGAATTTCTTATATAGTTTACTGTATATAGAGATGTTATTCGGGCCAGAGCCGAATCGATCCGACCCGAACCCGAATAACCTAAGAACCGAATAAAGGTATTTGTATGAACCGAAAACCAAATCAAATAAGCAATACAGGTTTGGTTCGGTTTGGGTTTTATTCGGTTCGGTTCGGTTCGGTTCCGACCCGAATAACCCAAATAACATGTTTAAAATAATTAATGACCTATTATGATTGTATAACCCGAATAACCCAAATAACATTTACAATGTGGTTATAACTATTGTATTCTGTATGATTTTTGTAATTTATGATTTCATAACAGATCTTTTAAAGAAACAAATTTTTTAATTAAAAATAATACAAAGTATATATAATTGTTTCAAAGGTGCAAAAAAAGTTAGAATTCGTGTACTAAAAATATAAACACAGATTAATATTGCATTTTAATATTCAATGCAGTAGATCGATCAAAGCAATAGCCGCAACTCGCAAGTAGGGATGAGAAAAACCCTCGATTGATCAAATATTCATGTCGTCGATTTGATGTATCATGCTACTGGGATCGATTGCATTGATTTTTTTGTTTCCAGGTTACGTGAGTATTGGGTTACGATCGATAGAACACAAGAGCACAAGACCAAATAAGCTATCGATCAAGGAGAAAAAATGTGACTTTTCAAATTCGGTTCGGTTTATTTGGCCCAAATAAACCCTTATTCGGGTAACCAGAACCGAATAACCCGAAAACCAAATAAGCCTTATATAGATACCCGAAAACCGAATCGAATTGCTTATTCGGGCCTAATTCAATTCGGTTCGGTTCGGGTTTCGGTTCGTTTCGGGTTTCGAGCCAAATTCTCATCCCTAACTGTATAAACTCTCGATTTTAACAGTGAACTATACTAACTAGTTTTCTTTTAAATGGATGATGATACCATCAATACATCGACACTAATTAAAAACGGGCAACTTTTTTCATATACGATGTACTCGCATACTAAATTTGATTATTGTGTCCAAAAAGCAAGACAAAGTGTGAAGTGTAAAAGGTTCTCAAGATCTCAAACAAAAGTTTTGGTTGTGTGAAGTTAATTTAGATCAAAACAGGGGTTGTAATTTAGTCATTGGTTTGTTTTAAAACATTTTGGGAATGTAACAAGGAGTTTCTACTTTGTATAAATTCGTATAAACCTTTGTTTTCATGTAACACAGCTAAAATCACATCAGTTATTTGTGAATAATTTATATAACACGTTAAACAAACAGCTACAAGTACACAAAAAACATTTCAAGATGGACAAACGGAATTATTATTACTTTGATTAAAAGAAGAGAATTATGAGTCCAAAGTTCATACAAGATCATAGTTTTTAAACTTTAGAACAACAATCACAAATGCATAAGGGAGCACAAAAAGGGGCAAAAAAACCTCCAAATTAGGTGTTACCTTATACACAATTGATCCCCTCTATACATTAAACTGCAATCTCTCTCTCTCTATTAGGAATATATATTGCATCTTGGTTGGAATTGTGCGACCTATTTCTCTGCAACCTAAAAGAATACATATATAAGAACCCATCCACATAGTGTTAAGTTGATCATGTGGTTATTGGGCTAATGTTATAAAGTTAAGTCCTAATGATTGAAAAGACTACATGGTTAACCCTGGAATCACCATGTATCTCATAAGATAGGATAACATTATATAGTTCAACAAAATAAGACATAAGAATTAAGATCATCATATATGTACCTGGTTAAGTGGATTATCAGGAGATTTTTTCCATAGCTTCCATATCATGTCCTTATACTGGGTGTGAGTGAGGCCAGGTTTCTCAGCTTTCAGATTGGGAAGCTCAGCTTCTTCAAAAGCCTGCAAATTTCAATAATTCAACGCCTAAGCAAGTCCAAATAACATGATAAAAATCAAACTTTTAGTTCTAAAATTCAAATGCCATTATGAAGAGTGGTTGTCTATCTTTTTTTACTTCAGTGTTCTCACAACAAAAAGGAAATTTCTCAAACAATCAAACACCGAATAATCAAAACAATTAGAATTGTAATCTGTAGAGATTATCCATTGTCACTAATGCATTAAGAACCAAAAACGAACCTTAAACGAGGCTTTAAGCCTTTTCTCAGGATGTTTATCCACAGGCAAGCTATCGGCAACCGACATCTGTGCAATCGCCTCCTCCACTGACCTAGCCTCGATCACTGTATCATCCCGATTAGTATTCTCAACAAGCACCATTTTCTCGTACTCCTCCTCCTTCGCTGTCCGACTCTGCTTCCGTTTTTCCTCTTCCGCCTTCTTCAAGATCTGCGCCTGCTCCTCCTCCTTTCGCCGAATCAGCTCCGCCTCGGTCACCTTCGGCACCGGTATCGAAACCCTAGTCGCTTTCTTATCCACCTTCTTAAGAGACTTCTCGAGCTCTTTCTCCTCAATCTCCGCCAACCGCCGCACCTCCGCCTTCCGAGCAGCAGCCTCGGCTTTCTTCTCCGACTCCTCCTCGCGTTTCTTCGCCGCACGTGACTTCCCTCCCTCCGCTTCACGCCAGTACTTCTCCTCCTTCTCACGCGCGTCCTTTTCCTTACGCTCCGCCTCCGTGGCGCTCTTCCGTGCCCTAGCAGCCTCCGCTTTGCTGTTCACCCCCATCTTCTTCGGCGGCATCGTTACGTTTTCCGATCACAAATTCCAATCCTCCACTACTTGATTCTTTTGATTAATATCTTTCAGTTCGGAGAAATGGAGAAAATCTTTGATCGGTTTTCTGTGTTGGTGTCAGTGCGTATTATGTTCTAAACATTTAGTTTGATACTTTCAATTTAACACGATATTGGTGTTGGGCTTTACTTCAAGGCCCATCAGCTCAAAACCCTAAAGAAAATAGCCAATTAGGCCTTTAGGTTCAAATCAAATAAAAATTGGTGTTCAAATATGGATTGGATCGATATCGAAACAGTATTTAGTATTTTCTGACCGCTTTAAGACAGTCTGGATCCGGCCTTTTGGAATTGGTCGTTTTCGATCTGGTATTTTTTGAGACCAGTCTCGTTATCTTTGTATACACCTTTTGAGTTCGGTTTAGATATTTTTTTTGTTTGATCTCGATATGTTCCATTAACAAATATGTGATTAACACCAAAATGATACATTACGATTTAATAAATGATACACTAAATTTTAATAAAAGAAAGAAGGAAAGAAATTGGACAATGTGTGATTAAAATATATATAATTAACACAAAAGTTATATGCATATAAGCTTTCACTTTCTTTTTTTTTTAAATTGGTCTTGCATCTGTCTCGAAGCAATCTGATCATTTTTTGGATCAGCCTGGAAATGGTTCATTTTTTTCGGACTGGTTTCGGGCTGATCCGGTCTTTTTTCGGGACCTTTTTCAGAACCGGTCGTGTCTTTTTGTTCATCTTTATTCTACGGTTGTGGTGTAATAATTAATTTTTCATGCATAAGATCCATGATGATCATGTCACATAATATTTAGATCAAAATACAGAAAGATCTTAAGAATACATACCTTATAATCAAGTGACGAATGAATGTTGATTACTCAAGATTCAAATATGAATGTGAATCTTGACTAGATTGATTAGATGTCTAAGTAATCGGAACTTGAACAACACACATTGGGGTGGTGCAACAATGGAACTACTAGTAATCTACCTAGAATAGATTTGGAGAAGAGATTGTTTCTTGTAAGAACATGACAAGCTAAGTTGATTAATTGGGAAAGATGAAAGAAGAGAACATGAAAATTTTGATAATGCAAATTTGAGAAAAGAATTATGAAATAAATTGATAATTCAATAAGCCAAGTTTATGGTGTAAAAAGATTAACTAAAACGATAGGATTTAAAAATTGACAGTCGCCTTTTTTTATTATCGAGATGAATACGACAACGTTTTTTTTATAAATTCTTTTACTTGTTTTCTAAAATGCCAATCCAAGCTCTCGTTTTTAAACAGTATTCAAATAATAATAATATATTTTTTTTCAATTTTACAAAGTCACTCCAAAAGGAGTTGTTCAAGATTCGCAAGATGAAGATGGCATGGAATGTTGGAAGGAAAACATGTGATTTTATGTTAGGAATTTGTTGAAGTTAAACTCAAATAATGTTATTTTTTCAAAAATAAACTAAGCATAGACAAGAGCTTTTTTCCTTTGTCATTTTATCATAGTGGAGGGTTTTTTTTGGTTCCTATAAGTTTCGTTATTGTTAATTATGTAACTTGTTTACTTATCTATTGGGTTTTCATGTGTGTGATTCATGAATATTTCATAGCCTTTTAAAAAATCATCTGTTTAATCTGGTTTTTGTTCACCTCTGAAATGCCCCGAAGTAAGAGAAAACACGTTATTTGTTAATATCTATAAACAATTGAAATTACAGTTATCCGATCTCATGATTGAAGTGTCTGTATGATTTTGCTACAATCTGTCGCAATACATAGTAAAAAAGAACACACTTCAACTCCTCTCAAAAGCTAGAAACTGGCACTTGGGATTCACTATGTTCTAGTTGAATGTTCGAACTCAAAAACCACTTTTCTGGCGTAATTATAGACATGAGAAGTGCTTTCGCAATACCATTACACACAAACCTTTCTATCAAAAATATCGTGTACTTTATAAATGTGGCTTCGAATGGGAGCCTGATTGGTCCATCTGTCTGCAGCCCATACTCATCCTCAGCCACCTTTAAGAGCTCTTGAAATATGTCGTTCTTTAGATAACTCAAAGGCAACACAAACCGTATTTCATCACATGTGTACACGGCAAAGTGACCCTTATTAATGCCTCTGGTTGTGGGGTTAGCGGCTCTTGGGAGTGTGATTCGTTTATGCTTTAGTACTCCTGAAGTTCTGATGAGTTTCGTGGGGTTTATCATTTTTATGAAACCTTATATGAAGTAGATATGTTAGGAGAGGATTCACATGAAATTCAAGTTATGACCCTTCTTGATTGATTCGTTTTGAGAAAGTGTATATGCTTATACATATATAAAAGCATTAGAGACTCTCATAATTCTAGCTTTTAATATGTAATGACTAGTGAGAAAGGACAATGGGGCAACACAAGGTGTAAGGTAAACCAAACATAATTACATTTTTGTCGGATGGTTGGGTCACATATGGTACCAAAAAAACTGGTTCACACAATTAGCAAGGCTAGTGTGATTTTTGAACCACAATTCAATATTGCGTGGAAACAAATTAAAAGTATATTTAATGTACAAGAATTTGTCAACCATTGACCACCATTGAACATGGTCCTTCTTGCATGATAACCAAGATATGAATGTACTTTAGATCATTACCTGATAACCAATAGTTCATGCAGGTTAATCCCAGATAGGATTAGATGCGGGATTAAATAACTGTGTTAGCATATAGATGTATCTACGCCTTAAGATTTTTCAACTGATCAAGTGTACCTAACTAAAGAAAACAGAAGGCGCCCTATATGTGGCTTTGAGTTCTTGAATGAATATTGGTAAAACCGTGTGCTCGACGAATCATTATGCACTACAAGGAAAACGATTATTAGCGGTGACAAAAATCGCCGGTAATAAGTCAAGTTGTCACCGGTAATAGTAATAGTGGCGACGCATCGCTTGTAATAAGTCACCGCTACTACTTTGTCGCTCTATTAATGAACTTATCGCAGCTAATGATAGGTGTCGCCGCTGATGACCATGTCACCGTATTAACTTTGTCGCCGGTAATAGTGTCGTCAGTAATTACAATTTTCATTTTTAAATTTTTTTTTGTAATTAACGATTTTGGTTGCCGGTAATAATGTACTCAGTAATTACATAACAACATTCGATTAAATATCAAAAATAATAGCGTCGATGCTAATTACAAAACAAACATCCGATTATAATTAATTAAATATCAAAAGTCATAATATCCGATAAAATATAAAAAGTAATAATGTCGTCCGCTATTAGTGTCGCTGACAATTACAAAAAACAACCAAAGTTTTACAATCTACCAAGTAGCAAAGCGTGACAACATAAGCAAATAAAACTCATCCTGGCCTATATATCATCATCTTCATTCCCATCGTTTCCTCGATTATTTTGGGATTGAAAAAACGAATACAGCTCATCCCTACATGCGGGATCATTCAGCATCGCACGGAGATTTTCCAACTACATAATTAATAGCAACACATATAAACTTATAAGTTAAATTATCAAACATAAACAAAAACTATCAAAATACATTGTTATTTTTAAATTAAGACAAAAAACCAAAGTATGTTGTTATTTTTTGCACTTGGGACAAAAACCTAATTACCAAACATTTTAGCAAATAATCACCACAAAACCAAAATTACCAAATCAACATGCATTTTACGATGCTAAAGTAGATTGCTATTTTTAAAGTAAGACAAAAAACCAAAGTACGTTGTTATTTTTTGCACTTGGGACAAAACCTAATTACCAATCTTTTTAGCAAATAATCACCACAAAACCAAAATTACCAAATCAACATGCATTTTATGATGCTAATGTAGATTGTTATTTTTAAACTAAGACAAAAAACCAAGTACATTGTTATTTTTTACACTTGGAACAAAAACCTAATTACCAAACTTTTTAGCAAATAATCACCACAAAACCAAAGTAGATTGTTTTACCTGTGATGGTTGTGATGCTTGTGGTGATGGTTGCGAAGGATGTGGATACGGCAGGAGAACAGAAGGTTTACGACCAATGCCTCTAATATGGCCACGTCGCTCTCCTAATACTTTCTCAAACGCAATTCTTTCTTGAGCGGGTGTTAACTAACTTTCACCTTGAGTTTGTTCTAACAGCTCTTCAACCAACCGATTCTGTAACTCCCAAAAGTGAGTAACAATTAAGTATAAATAAACATTTAATTATATGATAAAATTATAATTAATTACTTACATATTGTTGTTCCGCCTCAGCAGTAACAAATACATCATTCTTATCCGTATGAGCTTTGCGAAACGTTTCCATTCTCTTAAGGTTCTGTTTAACTTTAAAAATTAGATTATATTTTAAATATATAATTACAAGTATCGTACGTTACCTTCTTATAGCAAGTACTGTTATACGAGCTCAACCCCCCACGATTGACATTTGTTTTCATTTCACGAATTTTTTTGTAACTTTCTGAAGCAATTATGTGTTCGTCTGTTTGGAAATACTCAACTTCTTTCTTCCACTTATCAACTTCCATACCCTCTGGAGGGTTAGCTAATGCTCCCGGGATATCTTAATACCCTCCGACTAACATAAAATATTCTTTTGCATCAACTTTACGTTCTCGATAAACTTTTAACAAAGCTGCTTGAAAACTCTCTGTCAACATATTAGATAATAACATCATATATACTTCTACCAAAATACTCATATACCACATATACATCAAACACACATACATTGGCATATATACACCAAATTCACATAGATTCATATAAATATAAAATATACATACATATGGCAATTTTCACATAATTGATACAACTACACATAGCTTGCAATTAAACTCAAATTTCACAATAAATTGAAATAATAGAATCTGTAGTGGCGGAAATCAACGAATTTGTTGCCAGAAAAATTCGTCTTCACCCGAATATACTCTCACCCGTAAACCCAAAGACAACACTACCAAAAACAATGAAATTGACAAATAATTTTCAATTAATCATCAAATGAAACTAGAAATCGAAGTTAACATACAAAGACAAAGAGATATAGGAACTTAAACTTACCTTTCTTCGTGAAACGGAGTTAGATATCGCATCACAAGAAGCCCAAACCACCCTTGACCCCTAATCTCATACAATGTGGGGAGATAAGTTGTTGGAATCAAGAATCAATAGAAAAATGGAGGACCGATTAGAAGAGGAGCAGCATAGCAACAGGAAACAAGAAGAGATGGAAAGAAAACATGAAGCAAATGAGCAGATTGCATGCGTTTTTTTTATCTGCGAAAGCCTTTAGCGGCGACGCTTTTAGTGGCGACGATTTGGTCTTTACCGGCGACACAAAGCAACAATGGCAACAATCAGGAGGGAAGGGTACCGCGTTATTTTTTAGATCACTATTAGCGGCGACATTTTAGACATTTAGCGACGATACAATTGTCGCTGGTATTAGGTTTTTGCGGATAAGAGACCCCAACTGTTAGATTAGATACTCGATCGAATGGATGAGATCATTCAGAGAGGGTAAACGCGGATTCGGGTGAGATGCCTTTAGCAGCGACACATTTACCGGCAACACAACTCTTTAGCAGCGACAAATGGTAGAGTCGCTGGTAATGGGTTGTGTCGCCGGTAATTGTGTCGCCGCTAAAGGCATTGTTTCTTGTAGTGATGGATGGTGGGTACATATGATAGTTGTTGAATATCAAGAACCTATCATTCGACACAAATCCAAGGAAAATCTGAATCGATGTTGAGTGGTTTAATTGCATATGGGGCCGATGCAATACCAACTCTCGTTAGTAATACGTGTGATATTTAAGATAATATATATAACCCGTTTTTTCTAAAACCCGGGTCCTATATGATGGTGTGCCATTTTGTAGCAGGTTACGATCCGGAATGTTTGCTACAGGAAAGGAATGGTTAACCTAAGAGCAATTGTGTCCATTACATGTGAGTTTTAGTCCATGAACTCTCGAAAGGGTGACGAATAGTGTATCTTTTGTGTCCACTATTGGTTGATCGAAAGAAAAGGTTTCAACCGAATAAAAAAATGCACATAGTGGTAAGGAATTGAAGGTAAAGGTACATATAACAAGGTCAAGGTTATATTTGGCTTCCTTAATCGTAAACTGGAAGGTTAAATCTCTCACTCTTCATGTCTCATGGTTACTCATCATTATTATCTTTTTGAAATGGATGTACATAATTAATAATGTTTTAATCATACATATGATGCCGAATTTTTTCAAGTATGACCTAAGATTCTTTTCTGAGATGTTTTCATCTTGAACACATTAACTGAAACACATGAAAATGTACCATTTTGAAGAAATTTTGAAATGAAATAACTCTAAGTCATTAATTGGTTCATGTGATTCTTGTTATATTTAAAAAGATGATTAAGGATTTTTTTACTATAAATTGTCTAGGATATGTTAAAATTCTTACATATCATACATGTAAGTCTTGTAAAACCATGTTTAGAAACAATAACACTACTTCAATATTTTTATGTCCAGGATTTGACATGTAACCTATTATATGTTCCCATTATAGAGTATAGAGTCAACTCGGTAAAGGCAGCAATACCATATGATTAGGTCATAATGGTGAGCATGTATGTTTAGAATTTTCACATCATTTATCGAATTATAAGAATTTCTCATGATTCACTCCACGTATGACACCCCATATATCAAGGTGTTTTTAGACATGTGGAATGGGACGTTATTTGATCTTATTTGATACATGACGAATCTGAAACCTTTAGTCTTATCCTTTAAGGATAGTTTCCCTTGACTACACAATGTGCATCTCACATCTAGGGTAGGTCCTAAGAATTCAAATACCCATAATGAGGTAGAAAAATAAACCCTTAGGCCTTAACATGCAACAAATTAATAATGTTTTAATCATACATATGATGCCGAATTTTTTCAAGTATGACCTAAGATTCTTTTCTGAGATGTTTTCATCTTGAACACATTAACTGAAACACATGAAAATGTACCATTTTGAAGGAATTTTGAAATGAAATAACTCTAAGTCATTAATTGGTTCATGTGATTCTTGTTATATTTAAAAAGATGATTAAGGATTTTTTACTATAAATTGTCTAGGATATGTTAAAATTCTTACATATCGATACATGTAAGTCTTGTAAAACCATGTTTAGAAACAATAACACTACTTCAA